AATCCATACGTGTCACAGAGGACACGTCCCACGAGTCCAGTGGTTGGTTGAAGGATGATGCAGAGGACACGTTCCACAAGTCAAAACTAAACATCCAACTCATATCTGTCACGGAGGACACGTTCCACGAATCGAGCGGTTGGTTGAAATCGGCTGCACCTTCAAACATCCAACTCATATCTGTCACAGAGGACACGTCCCACAAAGCCAGTGGTTGGTTGAAGGATGATGCAGAACTAAACATCCAACTCATATCTGTCACGGAGGACACGTCCCAGCATCCGATGGTTTCGGCGCAACCCTGTTCTGCAAGACACGATTCCACCCGCGAGCGAAAATCTTCATCGGCGCCAATCACGGGATGATCTCCCTGGCAGTCCAATAGCTGCCGGTTCCTCGCGTTGCTTGGAATTCCGAGTTCTTCCGCCTCTTGAAGAACTCCTTGTGCGGTTTTGTTCTGGGTTGGAACTTTGTTGGTTTTGCAGAGTTGATGATCAGAAGAAGACTCTCTGTTGTCACTCGATCCCCGGACGTCGCCAATGGCGTGATGACGAGAGGCGACATCGGTTGACTTGGCGTGCGTCAATTCACTACTTCTTCCAATAGCTTCCGGTATGACACGGCGGAAGAAGCCGTGGCCGTTGCTCTTGTTGCCGAGAGAACCATCATTTTTCTTCCCGCTATCGATGGTCGCATGAACCGCATGAACGGAGGACCGGTAGTACATGATTCTTGTTTGATTGGTTTGTTGTTCTTGAGAGGGATCATCGCCTGTGGACGGCGTTTGGACATCTGCACGAGATTGCGTGTACTCTTAGCAAGTGTTTAAGTGTGTATGAAAATTGAATTATAAGATAGAATTATTCGAAGATTACCAAGCGCGTTCACAAGAGTTCCGAAGTTCTGATCTGAATCCTGTGTAGTTCTCGTACTGAATCTACACGAGGATTCTCTGTTCCGGACTTCTGACATCTTTGCTCTATGTGAGGTATTCTTCAAATGTTATCTTTGTTCTTCGTGAGGTATTCTCGAATGATATCTTGGACCTCCTAGGATCCATTAGCAGAACTACACAGGATTCAGATCAGCACTTCGGAACTCTCGTGAACGCGGAAACAAAGCTAGATTATGGAGGACAAGTGTTTCCATCCACGGCTTTGTTGGCGATGAATGTTGATTGGCCGACAGTGACACCAGGGTTCTGGATTCCAGGTCGTAGGATTGCTACGTAATTCAGTACTGCTGGAGTCCGTCCGGAATTTTCGACGAATTTCGAGGTTTCCGCCGGTCCGTGAAGCAGATGCTCCAGGTCTGGGGTAATCTGGTGAGTAGCGAATCAATCTACTGTATTGGGTGATTCCCGTAAACACAGATCTATGTAATATTGAATTAGAGTTCAGTCGTGCACACATAGAAGTATGTGTTTTTGACACAGAATCATAGATTTTTGGTTCAGGCAGGCTCTCGACAACCATAAGTATGCAAAAAAGACATAGATTTTTTGGAATCGTGGATTCAAAAATTCATCAGTCACGGGCAACTGCTGACATCCAGTTCTCAAGTGTCAAAGAGCCGGGCTTTTGAAGCAAAATTCCATATTCCTAAATTAAGCACATGTAGCGCGCCATAATTCAATATCTATGATTCTAAGATTTTACATACTTATTCCCGTTGAGTCATAGACTCGATTTATGTCAGCATAGATTCTATGTTTACGGGAATTGTGGAGGTTGGGTTGATGAGTGTTGAGGTACATCTGTTGTTGCTCATAACCTGCGAAGTGTACGTATGCTCTTTAGTGTCGTATTTATTTACAATAAAGAGTGAGCTTATTCACTATCTACTCGTGATTTAGGCTCAAAGGCCAGACGTTTCGTTCGACAATAATTGGTTGCGGCCGCCGCCATTGTTTTTTTGAAGGATGGCGGTGGCCAAAAAAACTTACTATGGTGCAAAAACCAGGGGTCATAATTTATTTAGAGGGGTGCGCATCGCGTCGAAACTCATACAGTATGGTTCGACTCGCTCGATCAAATGCTGCTAGGCTTGCGATGTGCTCAATGCAAAGGCCTCTCGAGCTCCAGACGTTCGTGTACCTACCGCACGGACCCCTGCCGTATGTACGGTACGACTTACTGTACGGTACTGTACAGCATTTTTTACGGCACATCCTTTCGGGGGAAAGCCCGCAATGCCGTTTGTGTTTGGCCTTTCGGACCCGACGGAATCGGAACGCAATAGAGTGTGCAACACATTGCTCTTACCGGTACTGTGTTCCGAGGCATTCGAGCTGTGCCATTCACCGCAGTCGCCTCCAGCGAGAAGACTCCGGGCCGCAGCAACCCCCGTGGACGCTTCGAGCCACACCCGGAAGATTTCCCGCCCACCAAGCACCAACACACCACCAACACACCCAACGCAACCACCGTCGCCCTCGGTGCCGATGGAGCCGGGGGAGACGGGCGGGTCGTTCGCTGGGTCCCCCGGGGCAGCGGGGACGAGGAAGGGATCGCTGACACCCCCGGCTAGGCGGTGGCTCTCCGCTGCCGCCACCGCCGCCGGGTGGTGGTGGCTTTCCTCCCGGGCGGGCCCCCACGCCACCGCTGCGGCCTTTTGCGGGCCCCCTTGCCTCCCTTCCCGGTGGAGCCCCCCCCTTCTCGCCCTGGGCTCCTCCCCCAGGGGCTTTTTTTCCCAAGGGGACGCGGTCGACCGGTTCTGCCTCGAGCTGGGCTGCACCCCCGAGGAGTACGAGCGCACCAGGGAAGAGCTGCTCTCGCGAAAGGTCCGGCTGTCGAGGGAGCGTCTGGCGGTGGAGGACGAGATCGATCGCCTGGAAACCGCGGGCTGGGGAGGGGCGACGCCTGGTCTCCCGGAGAGGGGCGGGGAGCTCCTCTCGGGCACGCTCCGGGAGAAGCTCCGGGAGACGCTGGGATCGGCGGTCTCCTCCCTCTGGTCCGGTTTCGCTGCCGCGGGGGCAAGGATCGGCCACCAAAAGGGCGCCGGCGGGCAGACAAGGATTCTCTCGTGGACGACCCACGGCCTTGCAGGGACCGGTCTTCCACCGATCGCGGAGGGGGACGACGAGGGCCCCGAGCCCATCGAGTTTCTCCGGGAGCTGCGAAAGGAACTCTCCGAGAGGGCCCTCGCCATCCAAAACCTCCTGGCCAACCTGGAATGGGTGGAGGACGGCCCGGGCGGCGGCGTTCCCGGGAGCACCAGCGACAAGGCCGGCGGAACGACCCTCCCGACGGCCCAGAAGATCTCGGACATTGTCGACCGGTACCGGGGGGTCCTGGACGCGGAGGGGATCTCTCTGGCCGTCACCCTGGACGGATTCGGCGGATACGACGACGGATACGGATACGACGACGGATACGGATACGACGACGACAACGACGACGACGGGGAGGAATACGGTGCCGACGGTGCCCCCCACCCACCGGACCTTCCACCGACGCCCCTTCAGTTCATGGTGCGTGGTGTTGCTGGCTACCGATCGGGGACACCGGGACGATTTCTGCCGGTTGTGCCACCGGCTGGCGTTGCATCTCTTTTGCTCGCGTGTTTCTTTCTCTGGTGCTTTCTTTCTTTCTTTGCTCATTCCTTCCGTGCCTTTCTGCTCTGCTCTGTGCATCGTGCCGCTGTGGTTCTCTGAACACTTGTTTTTGGCTTGCGCCACACACCAGAAACAGTGCGTTTCCGAGCTCGGGACGGCCGCAAGCACCGGGGAGGACGACGGCGACGACCGCAGCGAGGAATGGGACGAAAGGGTCGATCCCGACACGACGGGAGCCCTTAACTGGTTCGGAAGGGACCGGATCGATGCCAACCCGTTCAATCTGTGATGTGATGCGGACCGATTCGGTCTACAATGTTCTATAGAGTGAAGCTACCGGCACGAAAGGGATCTAGTGCTTTCCTTCCTTCCTTCCTCGATCGAATCCCTGGTCATTTCTCCTCCCACGATCGAATCATGGGTTGTTCTGCCACCTGGGAGGATACGATAGGATCCGTGCCGACAGCAAGGGAGGTAGGAGGCGCACTGATAGAGAGCGAGAGAGAGAGACAGCGAAGCGTTTTGGAACAATGTTTCTATCGAGGCCTTGGTTCCTTTTGTGTTTTTGTTTTGTTTTGTTTTGCCGTTCGTGCATCTCGGCACCCTCCCCCCCCCCTCGATCGGTGGCCTTTCGAATGAAACGCAACGCAACGCAACCGCCGTTCCTCGTTTGGGTTCGTTGTTCCCCTCCGCGCTTGGTTTGTCCGGTGTAGGCAGCGATGGAAGGATCGAACCGCCGAGTCGTGCCACAAACCGTTCCGGGGTAGGCTGTCTGTTTGTGGCGAGGCAGCAAGCGAAACGTCAAACCAAACCAAACCAGATCACACCAAACGAAGCTCCGCCACCATCGAAGACAGGGAATCGGGCACTACCCAAACGGGAAGAATTTCCATCGACAATGGCAGCAGCAAATCATTCGGACGGCATTTTCTGTATCCCAAGCTGTGATCGAAAATCTAACGACTAGCGATTCGCTATGTTAGCCATATACTGTACAGTATTCGTAGTATGTACAATGCGTACGGTACGGTACTTTAGTGGTTACGCGTTCTGACGTGACTAGTGACTCTGTTACTGTACAGTACTATCATACGCTTCGTATGTACACCAATAATTACTTTTTTGGAACGAATTTTAAATCTTACGTAAGTACTCGTGTGACTCGTAGTACCGCACAGTATGTTGTGACGAGCTACGAATGAGTACGTACGTACAAGGTATCTACGGTACCGTACAGCATACAGTACGACTCATAGCAAGCTTCGCTTCCGTCCCATCAACTCCGACCGAAAATTGGCCAATCCCATTGCGCCGATCCATTTCTCGGTTGCGCCACGCAAGCTACCGAGTGACCCACCAAGCATTGTCCGTAGGAATTCCTACGAGCCACACTTGTTTTTTGTTTCTTTCAAACGTACTACGAATACGGAAGCCTTCCTTTCGTGCGGTATGTTTTGAGTATGAGTACCGGTACGAGTATGCTTCGGTTTGCTATTTGTTGTTTCGTTCTCCCTTTTTTTCTTCTCGTGCAACCAACCCAGCTTGTGTCGAAGTCACCCGTGGCAATTCAAACGAGGCGGATACGGGATCATTGGTACGGTACCAGTGGGTCGTGGGATCGGAGACAGCTTCCTCCTGCCGAGAAGAGCCAACCAACCATCCCACCAATTCAAATCAAACGAAACGGAACAAGAAAGCAAACAAACAAAGCTCATTTTCTCGAAGAAAGTCTCGTGAGAAAGCAACAAGAAAGAACACACTCTGCGTCGCATTCCCAATCCTCCCGTCCGGAATCGAAGGAAACTACAATGGACAGGACCACGGCAAAAGCGGCGGCATCGGAGGGCAGCAGCATTGCCATCGATGATGGTCTTCGTGTTCCCGCTGCAACGGGTGCTGCCGCCGCCAACGAAACAGAAACAGAAACGGAAGCGCAATCGAAGCATCTTCGCCCGAAACACGCAGCGCACAGCGCGAAGCCCCACAAACACCGACAAAAGACGGGAGCCCCGGATGCGGCGCTGGGGGCAGGCGAAGTCGGCAACGCAACCGCCAGCACCATCGGCAACGACGACGACGATGGATACGATTTCGACGCGCTCCTGGCGGCTTCCAGCGTCGTCGAGGACCGGTGGGCCCCCCAGGACTCGTGGAGCATCGCTCCCAGCAAGGCGGTGGCCCTCGGGGAGGCCGGCGAACCCCTGCTGGTCTCCCACGAGTGCGTCCTCGGCCTGGCGGACTTTTTCCAGCACCCCCACCGGGGCCGGAACGCAACGGAGCTCCTCGCGGTGGCGACCGAGAGCTCTTCCCACCTCTCGGGGATTTTCTCGCTGAACGCCCAGCCCTGGGTCTACGCCGGGGGCGGCCTGGGGAACGTCGACGAGTGTCTCTCGCTCAACCGCCGCATCGGTGTCGGTAGCGATAGTGGTGTCGGTGGCGGCGTCGACAGCGATGGCAGCGGCGGCGACGCGCTGGTCCACGTCTGCCTCGCGGGGGGGACCAGCCGCGACTCGCTGACCTTTGCCTCGGCCTGCGTCGTCTCGGCCTGCTCGGCCCGGGACGTCCTGGCCGACGACTTTCCGGAGCGGGTGGCCACGGCGGGGTTCCGGCCCGGGGAGAGCAAGGCCGGGATCGGCAAAGAGCACGACTACGGATACGACGACGACGACGACGACGCGGCCTTTCGGGAGCTCCTGCACGAGTACGTTTCGCTCCACAGGCGGATCGCCACGGTGGGGGAATACCTCGGGACAGGCTGGGTCTGCGGGGAGTACGCCGTCGACTGGGAGGTCCTCCCGTCGCTGGTGTGGTGCGGGGCCATGGGCCTCTGCCTTTTGCTCACGGCAATGGGGACCTGGTGTGGCTTTGGGCCGGGCCGATGGACGGGGAAAAAGGCCTTTGGGCGGGACATCGAAGAGGAACAGCAGAGCCGTAGCCGATGCGGAGAAAACGACGACGAGACCTCCGAGGGATCCTCGTCGTCATCGTCCTTGTCCTCCTCGCCGGGGATGTCTTCCTCGTCTTCCGATTGCTCATCCGTCGGGGATGTCTACAGAAACCGGGAATCCCAATCCCAAAGGCGGCGAGACACCTTTTGGTCCGCCTGGGACGCGAGGGCCCACCTCGGCCGTCTTTCCCGCCGGCCCAACACCGCAACGGCCTGCCTCGACGGGCTCCGGGTGGGGAGCATCCTGTGGGTCATCGGGGCCCACGTCATGGCCATACAGTCGTCCACCGGTGGCGGGTACCTCAATCCCGGCAACTTTTTGCCGCCGAGGGGCTTCACCACCACCCTCCCCGGACAGCTCCTGTTTTCCTCGCGGTACGCCGTCGATACCTTCTTGTGCATCAGCGGGTACCTGGCGGCCTACGTGCTGCAGCGGAAGCTGCCGGCCCCCACCAACGGATCACCAGGGGGACGGACACGAACGGCCCTGAAGGTTTTTGCCGCGATCTTCTTTCGGATATTGCGGATCCTCCCCCTCTACGTGTGCTGCCTGGGGTTCTGGATGTTCCTGGCCCCACACCTGGGCCACGGACCCTTTTKGTACCAGTGGGAACACTTTTTGGAGCCCTGCCGGCAGCTCTGGTGGACCAACCTGCTCTTTGTCAACAACTTCTGGCCCTGGGGGGCCACCACGGAGGCCAACTGCTTCTACCACTCGTGGTACCTGGCCGTCGACGTCCAGCTCTTTTGCCTCTTTGCCCCCTGGCTGGTCCTCCTCTTCCGGCGGTCCGTCAGGGCGGCCCGTCTGGCAACCGTCGCGCTTTGGGTCTTTTCGGTAGCCGGGACGGCGGTCCTGGCCTACACCCAGGGCTGGAGCGTCAACTCCTTCGACGGGATCTCGGTCGCCCTCTTCGACGTCGAGGGCTACGCCAAGCCCCACGTCCGGGCCCAGTCGTACCTGGCGGGCATCCTCGTCGCCTTTTGGCCGCGGAGGAAGACCGTTGGGAGCAGCGGCAGCGCCCTCATGCTGCTGGTCCTGGCCGGCCTGTTTGTCTTGTGCTTCGTTACGGTAACGGGGGCCTACGCCCGTCGGGCCTGCACCTTCGGGGAGTCCCCCCTGGAGGGGGACGACTGCGGGTCCCTCTGGAGCCCGGCCGCCAACTTTGTCTACACGGCCTTTGGACGGGCGGGCTGGTCCGTCTGTATCGCGCTGCTCCTGCACCTGTGCCTCGGGAGCGACTCCACGGACGGAAGCAGCGGAAGCGGTTCGGCGGATTCGCCCCCGGAGGCAAACGCGGATTGCGGCAGCAGGTGCGAGAGCCACCGCCCCTCGCTCACGGGCCTCGTCGGGGGGGTCCTGTCCTGGGGCCTCTGGACCCCACTGGCCCACCTCTCTTTCGGGGCCTACCTCATCCACCCGATCGTCATCTACGTCTGGTACCTGGGCGGCCGCGAAAAGATCAGCTTCCGGATCTCCACCTACCTGATGGAGTTTTGTTCCATCACGGTGGTGACCTTTTGCCTCTCGCTCCTGGTGACGGTGCTGGTGGAATTCCCCTTTGGGGTCCTGCTGCGGCCGCCGGCACCCCGAAAGCGGAAACCACCCGAGCTGGGAACCCCCCGGATTCACGGGAACGACGGAGATACCGAGCTGAGATCGCTGCTGGGGGTCGACACGTCGTCGCCGTCGGTCTTTGCAACGCCCACGCAGTCCTATGGTTCCGTGCCTCGATAGCATAGCAATTCTGTCTCACGAGACACGACGATGCAGGATCGATCCGCCGTCTCTGGTTGTTTTCCGTTTCATCTAGCGTGGATAAGTGTGGGTGTTTTCGAGCGATAGTTGTCTCTATCGAAATGGAAGTGCTTGTAGCGATACACAATAGTGGCAAATAATACAAAATGTCTGTAAATACTACACTAGGCAAGGAAAAATGCACAATTGCCAGCTATAGATTAGAGTATGGGGACACCAGAGTACTCGCATCCGGTGGCAGCTCTCGGAACCAATCCACGCGCGGTGCGCAAGACAATCGTGGTGTCACGGCAAAAGCGCAACCAACCTTTCGCAAGCCTGCCTTCGCGAATGCCCTCCGCCCTGCCAGGGTTTCGTGCAACACGGACTGCTTGCTTCTGCTTCGCACCCGTGTCTCCTCTCGGGCATCCGGGGGCCCACTGTTTCGCGTCGGAATGGCACAGCGAAAAAACAACCCACCATCCAGCATTGCTCGGATGCGGTTCCCGCTGTAGCGGGCACATCGTTTCTCCCACCACGTGGCCTCCGAATGGATTGGTTCCGTCCCGCCGCGAATGCTGGCATTCCTTGCCTCTCCTGTCGTTCCTTTACGAGATTGGGCCGTTCGTTGCGCTTCGTTTTGTTCGTTTCGTTTTCCGTCGTTTCACTCCCATTCCATGTCCAAAATGGCCGCCACCCGATCGATCCGTATGTTGTAGCAGGGATGGGTCGCCTCCACCAGGGTCTGGTGCTCGTCCCCGAACCCGGGGTCGAAAAAGTCCTCTTTCTGCGGGTCCGGAGGAGTGTCTTCTTCTCCCAATTCCGCGGTGCCCGCTCCCTCCCCCGGCTCGTGGTGGTTTCCGCAGTGCTGGGCGATCGACAGGCCGCAGAGGTTGTAGCAGGTGTGGTAGAAATCCCTCGGCTTGCTGGGCTTGTCCCGGAGGCCCCCCGTGATTTCCTGGGCGCAGAGGAGGATGTACCGCTCCAGCAAAAAGACGTTGTACAGCAGGGGAAAGGGGAGGGGCTCGGCCCTGCCACCGGTGTTGCTTCCGCTGCCGCCACCGGATCGGTGCTGCTCGCGGTAGTACCGCTCGAGCCAGGGGTCCTCGCTGGCCTTGCTGCCGCTGGTGGTTCCGCCCTCCCCGCCCAGGACCCCCGAGCGGCTGCTGGCAATCGCAATGGCTCCCCCCTGCCAGTAGGAGTAGCACCCGTCGACGAGCTTGTTGGACCGGCCCGAAAAGCCCCCCTCGTAGGTTTTCTGCCGCCGGGAGAGCCACCCCAGGAGGGAGGAGACGTCAAAGGCGTGCCGGGGGCGGGGATCGGTTTTTTCCCCGCGGGCTTCCGGCTCAAAGTCCCCCAGGGCCCCCAGCAGCTGCAGGGCGGCGACCGCGCAGAGGGTGTACCCCCCGTGGGCCTCCGAGAAGGGCTCCCCGCCCATGCCCCCCTCGTAGGTCTGGCAGGACCGGACGTAGTCGATCACCAGCGGCCGGCACAGGGCGTTGGTGCTGGTGCTGGCGCTGGTGCTCCCTTGCGGGGGGAGGAGTCCCAGGAGCCGGGAGCAGCAGGCGATGGTATAGGTGGCCCGGACGTCGACCTCCCCGTCGTGCTGCATCCGGTACCCCCCGGTTTCCGGGACCTGCAGGGAAGCCATCCAGCGGTAGAGCGGGACCCGGATCTCGCGGAGGATCCGCTCCGCCCGCTTTGAGTAGTGCAGCTGCTCGTACGAGTCGCGCGAATCGTCGTCGTTGTCGTTCCCGTCGCCGTCGTGGTCCGCTGAAGGGCCGTCAGCGTCGTCTTCCTCCCGGCTCGTCGCGAGGATGCACAGGGCCAGGATGGCCGCGTAGGTGGTAGCGGCGTGGGCCATCTGGCCGGGCCCTCCCCCGAATCCACCGCAGTAATAGAGTGCCTCGTTCTGCTTCTCGTCCTCGTTCTTGTTCTCGTTCTCCTCGCTTTCGTTTTCGCTGTTGCCGACTTGCCGGTGCTCGTCGTCTTCGTGGGGGGCGAAATACAGGGGGTCGGCCCCACCGGAGCTTGCATCCGTGTTCGTGCTCGTGTTCGAGCTCGTGCTCGTGTTTGCATCTCTGTCTGAACCCGTGGCGTCTCCCCTGTCGACAATGATCGGGATCTCCGAGTGGGCCGTGTGGTAGCCCTGCCAGCAGTCCTCCAGCGTGGACACCATGCTGGCCCCGTCCGAGTTGGTGATCCACTTCTTGTTGGCTTTCTCGTCGCTGCCGCTGCCGCTGCCACCCGGCTCCCCCGAGAGCAGGTCGTACCCCTGGAGGCACCAGTAGAGCATCCAGGGCCGGCTCGAGTCCAGGCTCACAAAGCCGGGCCCGAGTGGCTTCCTCCAGACGCCCTCGAGGTAGGCCCGGTGCTTCTCTCGGAGCAGCCGGACGAGACGCCTGCCTCCCCGGCCGGGATCGCCTCCTCCGGGTGTTCCCAGCAGGCCGGCCTCCTCCAGGTGCCTCCTGTCTCCGTCCGGGAGGGCAGAGAGGTCCACAAAGTAGGGCTTGCACTCCGTCTCGGTCCGCTTCTGGAGGATCGTCGTCTCCGTGTCGAAGAGACAAAACGGGGGGGGCTTGTTGTTGATGTTGATGTTGATGTTGTGGCTCATGCTGCTGTCGTGGTGCTGCGGGAATGGGTACGATACTGCGCTCTGCTTTGCCGTTCTTTTCTTTGTTGTGCTGCGCAGCGAAAAGTCCTCCTCGGTTGCTGTTCACGGCGATTGCCAATCGGGTTGTCTTTGTCAATCGGATTGTCGGATTGTATTGTACTTGTACGTGATTGTGTCGTTACGAGTAGGTATTCGCATCGATGATGGATTGTGTTGGAGGCATTCAATTTTGAAGGAAGCCAGCAAAGAGCAGCGGCGATTTAAAAAAAAAGGCCTTTTGCGGTCGTCCGGATATACGACCACATCGACTCAAAAAAGACTCGGCGACGCCAACTACAATTTCGGTGCTGCTCAACGGTTACTGCTGACACGCATCTCAAAGATTTTTCCTGATTCATTCGGAGGATTCCTCCCTTCACTGTTTGTGCGGTAGCACGGAAGGATGACGGAGGAATCAGAACGCTACCGTACCGTAACGACACCACCTTCTCAACACTGTGCCGAACATTGCAGGACGACACCACCATCCTTGCAGAGTCTGTCGAAGGAAAGGCACAAGAGACACCGAAAAACCGTGAGAGAGGACACAATTCTTCCTTGGTACCTTGATTTTTGTTTTGTTTGCTGACAAACACGTACCGGTACAGTACACCTTGGAAGGAATCCTAATCCTTTCCATCTCCCGCAACGAAAAAGGACAACCCACCCGTCCCGTTTTCGAACCACCGACACCCACCGACGCAAAAGAACCCACCCACGTACTGTACACGTACCGCACATACATCCGCCATGACGGGACCGAGACGATCCGCGCGCGTCGCCAGCAGGCCGGCACCGGAAGAAGCAACAGCACCGGCCCCCGAGCCGGCGAAGAAGAAGAAGCAGGCGCCGAAGGAACCCCCCAAGAAGAAGGCCACCGCCACCAAGGCCAAACCCAAGGCGGCCCCCAAGAAGAAGGCAGCCCCCGAGAAGAAGAAGGCCGCGGCTTCCTCGTCGACCAAACCGGTCGTGGTCGTCGAGGCCTGCAAGCAATGAGGCGCGTTCAAGACCCGAGCCAACAAGATCGCCAAGGCGGTCGGGGATCGGGCCACCGTGGAAATCAACAAAGAAAAGGTACGTAGAGTGCTGCCCGGCATCGAACCGCCGGAGCGACTTTTGTGCGAGGTGCGATTGCTGTCGATTGCCGAACGGTGTAGCGTTTCGAGAAGGATGGGACACGACACGCATGCCGTGGATCGCGTTTTGTTCCGCAAACACGAAACACTCAACGGCGCTTGGTTTTTTGGCGTGTTGCGAATTTCTTCCGCGAAAAAAAAAACAACAAAAAACAACCTACACCACAGCCCGGAAGAGGGAACTTTGTGGTGACCGTCGAGGGAACCGACGAACCCATCGTGTCCCTCCTCGGCATGAAGCGCCCCTTCCCGGCGCTCAAGGCCCTCGACATGGACGAGATCAACGCCAAGGTCCTAGAGGCCCTGGAGTAGAAGGAGGAGTCCGGGGGCAAAAGACCCCGCGGAGGGGACCCGGCCGGAAGGCCCCCGCCGCGACCGCTCGCAGTGCCCTTTGCTGGAATGACGGAGTTTCCACCGCCCCGTTCGGCCGTTTGGCGACGGGCGGGGAAGGGTCCCGAAGACACAGCTTCGGGGCAAGCCGGCGTCGCGCGGCGGGGCTCGAACCACCCGAAACGGAAGGAAGGACGGAGACGCGCACGAAACGGAACGAACGGAAAAGAAAAGGATCGCGGCAAGGAACGTGCGATGCGAATCCTGGAGCGAAAGGTTGGAATCGAATCGAATCGAATCGCATCGAATCGAATCGAATCGCATCGAGTTGCTGTTTTTCACGGCGTCAGAGAACAATTTTGCAGTAGTGTAGTGCTATTAGTTAATTCAATTTTCAACCCCTATCAAAAGCTACAAACCTGTACTTGGCTCCTGCAAAATCTCCAACTATGACTTGCAAGTAGATGCCTTCGCTCCATTCACTTTCAAAGCGTGATGAATTGGAATCAAGAATGTTCAAACGCCTCCTGTTGCATACCAAGAAAACACAACAGCAGCATTGCGTCACAGATATGAATTTTTTGCCACCACTTGCGGTACCCTCTGTATTCCGTTGACTCTAATTGTAATTCGTGCAATGGCATTAGTTCGCACCGCATCGCATCGCATCACATTGCACCGCACCGATTTCCGTGGCATGCAAGAAAACTTGGCATCATGTCTTGCTACTACTGGATTGATTTAAAAATGAATCGAAAGCTACCACGACAGTGCCTAACCAATGCAATCCAACCAACAAACACTTCCCAGGATATTTCAAAGCATGACTTGCGGAAGTCGTATCTCCATTCTACTCGCTTTCAACAATGCCTGACGAATTGGAATCGAATTAGACCCAACCCCTCCCGTGGTATACTTGGACAATGGAATACAAACAAAGAAACAGACCTCGAACATCTCTAGGTATGACTTGCAAAAGTCGTGGTCTCCATTCTACTCAGCTTCGAAGCCCGACGAATTGGAATCGAACCAGGCCCAACGCCTCCCGTGGCATGCAAAAAGAACTTCTGGATTTAATTTGGCTTTACGGACAATGATTCGTTGCCACCCCGCTTTGCCTTTCGTCGGTCATTCACCGAAAGGAGTTGGTTTGCGGCAGCAGTTGTCACTCGTCGCCCCTGCTCGTGATTGGCCCGGTGGCACCGTCTTTGCCCGTCCCCGCTCCCGGCCCCCCTTCCCGAGCGAGTCACCGCCGGTTGGTCTCGGCCAGTTTCGTTCGCACCAAAGACGACGGGTGGTGGCCCCTCTGGAATGGGCCGCCCCTCGCGGCGTTTCGCCGGGCCGCTTCCGCACCCCTGCGCTGCTCGCGCTTCCGGGCCCGGTAGACGGACTTGCGGAGGGAGGGAGGCCGGAACCGCCGGTGCGAAAAGTCCGCGGGCCTCGTTTCGGCAGCTGTCCTGCCAACCTCGACCGCCGCCACCGCCCGCGAGAAGATGGCCAGAAAGGAGGCCGGGTCCTGCTTGGACAGCCTCCGGGCGTTGGCCTCGGTGCCCAGGGAGGCCATTTCTCCCAGGGGAATCCGGCGGTCCACGACGATCCGGCGGGCCTCGGTGGCCAGGAGGGCGAGTTTTTCGGTCCGGAGGGCCTCCTCCGCGGCCCTGGGAGAGGGAGGGGTTTTTGTGCCGTCCGCCTTGGCCCGCTTCGGGAGGGAGAGGTACCCCCGGACCTCACTCGGGGACGGCGTGAGGGCCTCCCGGAGGTCGATGGCGATGATTGCCTCGCCGGTGCTTGTGCTTTGCGTCGTCTGCTGGTCCCCGTAGTAGACCGAATCGGTGTTGAGCTCGTTGGGGCAGCGGATCCCCCGGTCGTACCGGTGCATCAGCAGGGCCATGATCCACGGCTTGGAGCGCTGGCGTTTGTTGAGGGGGATCCCCCGGACCTCGGAGCAGGCCCGCACCAGGGCCGAAGAGCAGTCCGCGGAGGAGATCCCCATGCCTCGGAGCACCGTGGCAATCTGCGGCATTCTCTGGCGTTTCTTCTGCCACGGCTTCCGGGGTGCTGCCGGTCTCGGCCGCTGGGACCGCTTGGCCGTTGCCAGCGATCGGGAGCGGAACGCGTGGACAAGGTGGCGCGTGGCAACCGGGGAAAGGGAGGAGCGGGGGAGGAATCCCGTTCCATCGTGGCTGCTGCTTCGATGGTAGCATCGATGGGAGCATGGCGGTTCGGGGGCGACCGCCATTGCCCTTTTGTACCAGGATGCAACAGAGAATGGCAAACGACGCAGGGGGTCGCGCCCGGAAGGCGGATGCGGGGTAGCCGCATCGGGAATCGTTGCCGCCGACAGCAGACGGCAGATTCTGCTGGCAGCAGTCGCAGAAGGAAGGATTTTTGCGGCTCCCATGCCCGTGGAAGCAACGCATTGCAACCTTTTGAGGCACGGTGCTCTCGTCCACATTGTCGTTTTCGGGATGATGACAATCATCGGGGGGGATGCATTGCATGTATTTGTTCGTTCGATGGGTTGGAACTGATGGCACTGATGGCACTGATGGCACTGATGGCAACGACGCCGTGTTGTGATGTTTGTTTTCGACGTTGTTCTTGTCGTCTACTGTACATGGTACCGTACTGTACCGTACCGTACCATACTGCTACTGATCTTTTGTTGCACCAGTACTGAACTAGTTCTGTGGATGAGCTTGCTGTTATACTTACTAGTTGGGAACCAGTCCAGTAAGTAGCTACAGCTGTAGGTTTACCTTAGCTGTAGCTGCTGTAGCTTTAGTAGCTTCCTCTTAAGCTGTAGGTTTAGCTGTAGGTTTACCTTTAGCTCTACTAGTAGTAGCTTTAGTTCTACTACTACTAGTAGTAGCTGGAGCTGGAGCTCTAGCTCCTTTAGCTTTAGCTGTAGCCTAGCTCCAGTGCTATGCTAGCTACTACTAATAGCTATAGCTTGTAGTAGTACTAGTAGCTGATCCTTTTCAATTACAATATTAGTAGTAGTATATCTATATCTACTATTATCTCTACCTTTGCTTTATTAGTATCACTATTGATATCACTATTGGTATCATTATCAGTATGGCTATCAGTTTTGCATTACTAAGTATTACGGTTGTACTACTATTAATATTTCAATTGATGAGCTACATCTAGAGCTATATCTAGAGCTATATCTAGAGCTACATCTAGAGCTTTATCAAGAGCTACATCTAGAGCTAGTACATCTAGAGCTAGAACTACAGCTAAAGCTAGTACATCTAGAGCTAGAACTACAGCTAAAGCTACATCTAGAGCTAGAACTACAGCTAGAACTACAGCTAAAGCTACACTCAGCAATCCAACACACTCAGTGATCAACACTAACCAATTACCAATCAACATAACACTATTGCTTTATTACTTTTTCTGGTACTACTTCTGTTTTTCACATAGTAGTAGTAGGACTACTAATATTTCAATTGACTAGCTTATAGCTAGAGTAGCACTGGAGCTAGTGTTGCTACTAGTGGTATAGTAGATAAAGCTACTACAGCTAGCAATATACTATCTAGCAATAGCTAGCACAAATGCTCAAACTACAGCTAGCACTACAGCTAGCATCTTTATTACTGATATAAATACTCATTGGTGGGAGCTGGACCTGGAACTGGAACTGGAGCACAATACTGATTGGAGCTGGAGATAGAGCTTGAAACTTAGCTTGAGCCTGAACTGGAGCTGGAGCTGGAGGAGTAGCTGGAGGAGGAACTGGAGGAGTAGCTGGAGGAGTAGCTGGAGGAGTAGCTGGAGGAGTAGCTGGAGGAGTAGCTGGAGGAGTAGCTGGAGGAGTAGCTGGAGGAGTA